TATAATTTTGTCATTCTGCATCAACACACAACCCAATAAAACTCTAGACGCATCACAATACACAGCAACCTTGAGTACCTTCTGGTAAGGTCAATACGGGGGCAGTAGTCAACCTTGTTTTCAATTCCTGAAAGCTTTTCACACAAGCTTTAGACCATTGAAATTTCACTGTTTTCTGAGTTAACTTAGTCAAAGGGGATGAAATAGATGAGAACTCCTCTACGAACCTTCTATAATAGCCAGCCAAACCCAAGAAAATCCTAATATCAATTGGAGATGTGGGTCTTGGCCAATTTTGCACTGTCTCTATTTTCTGGGTATCAACTTTATTTTCCTCTCCACACACAATGTGGCCTAAGAATGCCACAAACTCAAACCAAAACTTACACTTAGAGAACTTGGCATATAACTATTTATCCTTTAAAGTTTGGAGAACTATTCTAAGATGACTAGCATGATCTTCTTCATTCCTCGAATAGATTAGTGTGTCATCAATGAAGACGATAACAAACATATCTAAGTAAGGTTTGAATACTCTATTCATAAGGTCCATGAATGATGCAGACGCATTGGTCAAACTAAAGGACATGACCAGAAACTCATAATGACCATAACGGGTTCTAAAAGTTATCTTTGGAATATCACATTCCCTTACTCTCAACTGATGGTAGACTGATCTGAGGTCTATCTAAGAGAAACACGTAGTTCCTTGAAGCTGATAAAAAAGATCATCAATTTTCAAAAGAGGATATTTGTTCTTGATGGTAACCTTGTTCAACTGACGATAATCTATACACATTCGAAGGGAACCATCTTTCTTCCTCACAAACAAGATCGGAGCTCCCCAAGGTGAGACACTTGGTCGAATAAAACCCTTATAAAGGAGATCTTTCAGCTGCTCTTTTAGCTTTTTCAACTCTGCTCGTGTCATTCTGTATGGTGGAATAGATATAGGACGAGTATCTGGAAGAATGTATATACCGAAGTCTATTTCTCTCTCAGGAGGGACTTCGGGAATATCATCTGGAAAGACTTATGGAAATTTTTTTACTACTGAAACTGCCTGAATAGGAGGTATCTCAACACTAGACTCATTAACTCGGACTAAGTGATAGACACAACCCTTAGAAACTAACTTACTTGCCTTAAGGTACGAAATAACACGACCCTTAGGCATTGTTGAACTGTTTTTCCACTCTATAACTGGCTCACTGGGGAAACTGGAACTTGACTACTCGATTTCTACAATCAACTGAGACATGACCGACATGAAGTAAGTCCATACCAAGAATGACATCAAAATCTACCATGTTTAACTCAACTAAATCAGCCATGGTGCTCTTGTGATTAATGGAAACGGGAATATCATGATAAACTCTCTCTACTAGAATAGACTCACCAACAAGTGTAGAAACACTGAAGGGCTCACTAAGTTGCTCAGGAAGAACATTAAAATTTATCGCAACATACGAAGTTACAAAGGATAAACTCGCTCCTAGATCTAGCAAAGCATAGACATTAAAGTTAAAGACTTGGATCATACCAGTGACAACATCTGGCGAATCCTCTTGCTCTTGGCGACTAGTGATGGCATAAAGACGGTTTGATCCTCCGTCTGCCCCTGAAGTAGCTTATTTAGATACAGTTATGTCTGGTGGGGCAACTGAATAAGACTGGGCTTTATTGCCCCCATTACCATTACCCTGCTTGTTTTTTGGACACTCTCGCATAAAATGACCATTCTTGCCACACTTGAAGCAACTAGTGGAGCCATCACGACACATCCCTGAGTGGTTCCTACCACACTTAGGACATGCAGGAGTCACATTACCTCCTTGTGCAACACTACCTTGAGATTGTGCAGGTCTAGCTCTTAAGTGTTGTGAATTCTGACTATTGTACTCACATTTGTTTCTTAGTGCAGGTGCACTAGCAGATGATGGAGCAGGTCGTTTTTGCTTCTATTGGAAAGAAGATCGGTTCGCATTACTCTTTTACTGCCCGGACTCATTCCTGAATGCCTTAGCCCTGTTATTTTTAAACTATTCGCTACCCCTCAGCTTGTCCTTCTCAACTTGTTGCACATGGATCATCAGTCTTGCTATGTCCATGTCACCTATTAGTATGACTATCTTACCTTCCTTACTTGATAGACGAGACAACCCAGCAATAAACAGATTAATCTTACTCCTCATATTGGCAACCATCTCCGGAGCATAACGGGAAAGTTGGGTAAACTTCAGATTGTACTCATGAACACGCATAGATTCCTGCTTAAGAGTGAGGAATTCTTTTACCTTTGTTTCTCTTAGCTCACGGGGAAAGAAACGTCCCATGAAGGCATTCTCAAACATAGCCCAGCTCACAATCAGTTACGCGCAAGAACGAGTTAGAAAGAAACTTTATAGAAATGAACTTTATCGCACGAAATGAGAAAGAAAGAAATTAGATAATTTCCTAAATGTTGCAGCCTTCTAATTATAGATGTGGCGCGCTTTACACCGATAACTAAGACTCTACAGACACGGCTTCATAGACTCCCTAGGACTCTTGAACTCTATGCTCTGATACCAAGTTTATCACTCCCCGAGCCTACACTTTGGGCGGGACTGGCACTCGAGAACCATTAAAGGCCCCAAGCAAACCCTTGGCCTAGCTAGCTTACTCAGCAGAAGACTTAAACATAAGAAACATAACTCATGCAATAACTTAAGAGATAATAACTTTGCCAAATGGCAACTCAAGTCTTAAACGTATACAACTAAAATAAATAAGACTAAAGAACTATAATTACCCGTCTATAAAGCCTCTAAACAATAAGGTATGTCGGGACAAGACCCCCGATCATCCTAACAACTGAAATACTAGAAAGCAAAGTAAAAGAAGTCATCTGGAATGCAAGAGGCTCACCAACTGACTCTGAGTGCTCAACTGGATCAACAGGGCCCTCGATGTTAATCCTGACTACTTGTGTCTGCATCATGAAACGATGCAGGCCAAATGGCATAAGTACATTAAATGTACAAGTATGCAAGGGGAATACTAAACATAACATAAGCTTGAGAGGAATCTGAAAGAAACACTTACCTTGGTTTTACTCAACTCATGAACAACTTAACTCAATATAAAACAATAAAACACATGCAATTTATAGAAAGCTTTTAAAACAGTAGAAAGCAACTCAGTTCATTAAAGAAATGCAATAACAAACTCAACTTTACTCATGTAATAAAGTATTATAGTTTCTGTGGGAGTTTCTCTAACCGACAACCATCACTATGAGCCTAACTGGTGATACAGTGTCTTGCCCACGCTGCCAGAATTGTCTTATACTTTGCCATCATATAGGACGCCTTAACTAAGTGGATCCACTAGTCTATGCTAAAAAACACTTAAGGAATCATCTAAAAAGTATGATCATTTACTACTCATGATGGCTACATGATTTATGGAGACTTGAGTTATTATGAACTCGCATCCCCATATTGGTGCTCAATACTACTCCCAAAAATATACCTAGCTCATATGTTTTTTAATCAAAACTTCTTTCTTTGGGTTGAGATAATTACTCAAAACTTAGCTTAAAAGCTCTCTTGGAATCTATATTCCCTTTCTTGCTCAAATGTGAAAACATTTCTAACTCTTGGGAATACTTAGTTCTGTATAATCTTTGAAGAAAGCAACGTTTACTCTTACTCTTTACTCAACTCAAAGCTTAAGTCTTAAAAACAAAGTTAAAACGTTTGTAAAAAACTTTTGAAAAACTTTATGAACTTCTCTTGACTTGATTCTTAACTTTTTAACTTGACTCTTAACTTTCCTTGAATTGAATTTATGGATTCAAGAATTGTCATTTGTGATAGGAAAGATCTCATGATGTTTAGGAGTGTTTTTAGATAGCTAAACATGAGAAAAGATCAAGAAATCACTGTCTGGAAACAAGTCCGCGTCGCGGAGATGCATTTAAATATTTTGATCGCAAAATTTATTTTTGAAACAGAGGAGTCCGCATCCCAACCGCGATGCGGAGGTAATTTTTGTTCACTAGGGGAGCAAGTCCGCGACACGGACATGCGTGCCAAAACCTGCTCGACTTTTTCCTTCTTCGTTTTCTCACCCCAATTTGCTTAAATCCTATTATTTTTCTCAATCCCTCTATAGATTCAAATGCCCAGTATATATACACAAGAATCTAACTCAAAACAACTCTTAAATCGACACGATTCCATCAAGAACTCCACTATCCCATCAAATCTCAAGAACTAAAGCAACTTCAAGAACGTAATTCAAGAACATCATACTTTCAACTTTCTAGAAATGAATTTCGCTAAAACAAACATGATTGGCACGTGGGTGAACGAACCCAACGCTATGAAAGTCTCACATACCTTGTAGGATTTAATCCTTGGCGAATTCCACAACCAAAATCGCAAGAACTAGACGAATCTTGAGTTTCTCTTCTCCTTTCTCCTCTTTTCTCTTCTCTCAAAGCCCTAGCGTATTTCTTAGTTGCGTAAACTGAACTAACTCAGTTTAAACCCCAAATAATTTACTAAAAACGGATTTAATTAATTGGGTAAGGAAAAGACTAAATTGCCCTTCAAAAATCCGGATTAGACTTTCCTTATTTGGACAGCCCAACTTCAAATGGGAATATCTTACTCATACGAACTCGGAATCGTGCAAACTCGGCGGCGTTGGAAAGATTATTCCAAGATCTTTCCCACGATATCTGGAAACACACCTAAATCATCCTGAGCTAGGAGTTATGGTCGTTTGAAGTTGACCAAAAACTCAACTTGGCATACTTAACAAATTTTCCAGATTTTTATTCTTTCCAAAAATGACTATTTCCAATTTTTAACTTCTTTTTAGTCCTTTCAATTAGTGAGATGTTACATGTACCAAAGAATGTGGTAATTTTAGCTATGCAATATGTCCACGTTCCGAAGGAAATCCAAGAAACCCCATATGTACCACATGTTGTGCAGGCTACAAAGGTTGCAACTATTATAGCGCTAACGGAACTTTCATTTGTGAAGGAAAATCTGACCCAAGAAAGCCAAACGAACATTGTCCCAAGGAATGTGATTATAAAATTGTTTATTCAAAAGGACCGACTATAATTAAACCCACTGGATGCACCACATGTTGCACGGGGTACAAGGGTTGTTACTATTACGGTAAAGACAACAAGTTTGTGTGTGAAGGACAGAGTGATGAACCCAAGGCTTGTACTCAAAAATGTGACCCTAAAGTTGCTTACGTGACTTGCCCACCTGAATCAACAAAACTTACTCGAGTTTGTGTCAATTGTTGTACCGCAAAACCAAGATGCAAACTCTATGGTCATGATGGATCTTTAATTTGTATCGGAGGTGTTAAAGGTCATTATCCTTATTAATATGTATGAAATAAAAGCATGATTATATACTTATCATTGTCATGCTAATCGCTGTAATGTGGGCAATGGAGCTTTTTCCACCACTTGCGCAATAAATTAATAAAATCTTTTACTTTGAACTCTAGTATTTCTTTTTTTTCGTATCAATTTGTTTGATCTACTTTTTATTTTCATTTGTTTAAAAAGAAATGATCATTTCCTTTTTTAGCAACTCTTTAATTTTAACTTTACATATGACATGTTTAAGATCATAAAATTTTATTTTATTTTTTTTACTTTCTTCAATTTCATACCAAGTCAAACTATGCCAAATAAATTGAAATGGAGGAAGTATACTAGCCAACTAGTTTATTTAGGGATCGTTTGGTAGAGTGTTTTAGTAAAAATAATGCATAAATTATTTTTGCTAATACATTCTACCATATTCGTTAAAATTTTCAGCTAGATTCTTCCGTCCTCCCATTTCCAGCTACACAACCTCTCCCATGAAAACGGGGAAGAATCATTTACACATCATATTATGTTATTTGTTTTTGCACAAGTAATACATTACTCCTAGATTTCCCAATAAACGAAATGAATTGTTATTTATTTTTGCACAATCAATTTTAATCTATCATAACATGTTGGTTGCCATTTTTATGAAGTTATCAAATAATTACCTAAGAAATCCATCGATAACCATTGGGATATATATGGATCGGATTGATTAAGGATTTTCAAATACTAAATTAGATTATTTGTGTTGGATTTTTAAATATATAAATCAAAACAAATTAACAAATTTCAGGTTTCTTTTGGTTTTTCGGGATTTTGGATTATTTCGATAAAGTATTCATACAAACATATAATTAACCGTGCATCAAATATTTCGTTAGTCATACCAAACTACAACCATCTAAGGTGTTCTTTAAAAAAATAACACAAAAATTTGAGACGAGTGATGACACTAAATATTCAACAAAAAATAATAATGACAATAATAATAAAATCGCATAAACAAATATTGTAAATTAATAAGTTATAATGAAAATTATCATAATTTAAAAGTACTAAATAAGTCTAATAAGTATTAACTACATGACTAAACATTAAAGAAAAATTAAAATTAGGATAGTTGTATTTTAATTGTCTAAATGTAAAACTAAAGAACAAATATTCAACATTATTGTCATTCTTAGTGTAGAATTAATTATTTTATTTGCCTCAAACTTGAAATAACATGTTAAAAAAATTAAAATTATGAAAAAATTGAAGTGTAAGAAATATTTATACGTTATATCAAAGTAAATAATATTATGTATAAATATACTTTTAAAATTATAAATATAATATCAGATTAATTTAATCTCGATTCGACTTACTTAAAATCAAATCAACCCAAATAATATAATAAATTCCAATATCAAATTAAATCAAACCAAATTACTAATCAAGTTTCTTTTTTGATTTAACTCAATTTACAATTTAGTTCAATTTTCCGTTGACTATATACACCCTAAGTAATCATATCTACCATTTTGCTTAATTATTATACTCAAGTACTGTAAGGGCGGCCTAATTTTATCAACCTATCAATTAATCAAAAGTCTAAAGTTTCGGATGGTTATAATTAAGTTTTTTTAATTCATTTTTTAATAGAAAAATATATTTTATATTTTTAAATAAAAATTACTATCTCCGTCCACTTTTAACTGTCATATATAGTTTCCCTTTTTAGAGCCAACACTAACATTTTACCGTGCATTTTTTTATCATATTGATGTGCAAAAAATTGAATTATAGTACTTTTCGTATACTTTTTGAATATCTAAATTTTTTGTTTAAAATTATAAATTAATATAATCAAATTTGACTTTAAAAATTAGTCAAATTAATTTTCGTAAAGCACAAACATGACAATTAAAAATGAACATAGGGAGTACTAGTTAAGTAAGAATTTGAGAAATTGATTCAACACTTTAACTTTGAATATAATTAGTATGTCCGAAAAGTTATTGATAATTCAATGGCGGCTACAAAGTGCATTGGAAAAAGCTAAGTTATCTATCGCTCAGTCTTAATTTATGTTTCTTAGTTAGAATTTTTAGAGTTGGTCATTTTCATTATTTTTTTCCTAAAATTTCTTTATGTCTTTTAAATTGTTAATTTACAGTATTTTTTAATATAATTTTCAAATATACAATTTTATTTCAAAAAACTTGAAGTTTCTATGTTATTTGTTGGATCTCATGATATCATTAGGTTTAAGGGTATTTGGTCTTCCCTTAGGTAAGCCACCGATCATGCGCTAATTTTTCAAGTTTACTTAAGCTCAGACCTACTCTGCTTCGTTGTTTTTATTTTTAATAAATAACTCCATTGATCATTGATGTAAATTATGCTTCATTGTTTACTTGATGTTTAACTCCTATTTTTATATTTAGTTTTTTATGTGAATTGAACAACCATCCATCGAATTATACTCAATGCAAGGAAGGTTTAATTTATTTATTTTTAAATGCACTGTCAGTATAAATCTATTATAACATGTTAGTAATCAATTAATCATGAAAAAAAAATCATTAAACATTGCACTATCAGTATTAATCTATTATTATAACATGTTAGTAATCAATTAATTATGATTTTCTTATCATCAATATATAGAACGTATACGCAATATATAATCACATGGCTAAAGTACGTTCTGGATAGTTGTAATAAGTTAGTTAGACTTGGTAACCACTTCTACTTTGGATTTAGTCAGTTTAGATTGACTCATTTTAAGTGATCTCAATTGTTTAATAGCATTTGAGTAAGTTAAAAAATACTTATTAACATTAATTAGTTTTAATTTAAATGGCAAAAATAAATCAAAAGTCACAAGTGAGAAATATAATTAATCAAAACTGAAAAATCAATCCAAGCAGGTCAGTATCTCCAAATGACAAAAGGACAGTTACTGATAATTCAAACGGCACAAAGAGTACTGGGAAAAGCTAGGCTGCTAAAAGTGTTTAAAAAAAATAGCCAATTGATTTTGGTGGCAAATAAGTGCTTTAAAATGCTAGAAAAAGTTGTTTTTCAAAAGCCAAAAAAATAGCTTTTTGCCAGAAGCATTTTTGGAACATTTATCAAGTACGAATTACTACTGTAAAATATTGATAAAAGTGTTTTTAAAGAAAATTGATTAGTCAAATACAAATAATTGTTATATAAAAAATTAATTAGTCAAATATAAACGACTGCTCAATAACGAATAAATCCGACTTTCTTTTTGTTCTATTTGATCCTACCTTGCCAAACTTACACTAGCAAGTACAAATTTGAGGAGACTGAATATTGATGTTAATTAGCTGAAATAATTAACAGGTTTGACTATTTTGAGTTTTATTTGATCACTTGTTTGCTATAAATATAGGTGGACGAGGACATACACTCCTCACCCCAAAATTAAAAGAAAACAAAGTGCTAAGTAATTATCCATAATGGCTGTTCACAAAGATGTTAGTTTCCTTGCTTGCTTGCTTGTTCTTGGTAAGTTAATTTTCTCTTTAAATTCTTCGTTCATACATACACAAGTATTGTTATATATGTTTTTCCTTAATATATATACCTTATATTTGTTGTAGGATTAATGTTTCTCCATGTAAGTGCGACGATAGACCAGGATCGTGATATCATCAATCCCAGGCTTTGTACTAGAGAATGTGGTAATTTTAGCTATGCGATATGTCCACGTTCAGAAGGAGATCCAAGAAACCCCATATGTACCACATGTTGTGCAGGCTACAAGGGTTGCCACTATTACAGTGCTAACGGAACTTTCATTTGTGAAGGACAATCTGACCCAAGAAAGCCAAACGAACGTTGTTCCAAGGAATGTGATCGTAAAATTGCTTATTCAAAATGTCCCCGTTCAGAAGGACCGACTATAATTAAACCCACTGGATGCACCACATGTTGCACGGGTTACAAGGGTTGCTACTATTACGGTAAAGACAACAAGTTTGTGTGTGAAGGACAGAGTGATGAACCCAAGGTTTGTACTCAACAATGTGACCCTAAAGTTGCCTATATGACTTGCCCACCTGAATCGGCAAAACGTACTCGAATTTGTGTCAATTGTTGTACCGCAAAACCAGGGTGCAAACTCTATGGTCATGATGAATCTTTAATTTGTGTCGGTGGCGTTAAAGGTCATTAATAGTTCTCAGTAATATGTATGAAATAAAAGTATGACGATACATGCATTATTGTCATGCTAATCTATGTAATGTGGGCATTGGAGCTTTTCCCACCGCTTGCGCAATAAATTAATAAAATCTTTTACTTCGAACTCTAGTTTTTTTTTCTTGGTATAATTTGTTTGATCTATTTTTTTTAGTTTGTTTAAAAACGAATGACCTTTTCTCATTTTAGTGATTCTTTAATTTTAACTTTCCACATGACAATAATGATATTTTTAAGATCATTAAATTTAAAAATAATTATATTTTTTTAAATTTCGCACCAAGTTAATTAAAATAGGCAAAAAAAATTGAAAGGAAAGGAAATATATTAGCCAGCTAGTTTACTTAATTGCTTTACTTTAAAAGTCGAAACCTTTTATTTTATTTTATTTTTTCGTAAGCAAAGATACATGATAGTGGCAGATCTACTAGTCCGGTTTTAAAGTTTGGGGTAGGGAGAATAATATTAATACTATTATAACTATTCGAGATAGGTATTGACATTTTTAGCCTAACAAAAAAAAAAGATTCTTACTTTGTATGCTTTTTAGGGGTTGCATAAATCGAATCGACTGATAAATTGAATCCAAAAAAGTGTTATTGATTTATTGTTATTGGGTTAACTGTTACTTAATTGTTTTATAAAAAATTTATTGGATTATCGATTCGATATTGGTTTTTTAATATTGGGTTAATCGATAACCCATTAAGAATATAATAATTTACTATTTTAATCTTTAGTCACACATAAATATCAAACAAAAAATATTAAGATAATCATTATATTAGACTATAATTATAAGGACCCTACACAATTAACAATACTTAACTCTGTCTCTGCATTTACCCTTTAAGTTTTAGTTATACTTTAGTCTTTAGGTTCACAACGTCAAAACCTAAAGAAATAAGAACGGCGACAACTAGGTTTGTAACGACGACGGCAACGGTTAGGCAACAACTAGGGTTGTGAATTGTGAGTATTTGCTATACTTTTACTACACTAAGCAGAATTTTTGCACTCAATGAGTAATTTGATTTATCTTGTTTTATTTGACATCAAATTGTTGGACAAGCCATATATTTGTTTTGAAAGCATTTTCTTATTGGTTAAACTGAAAATCGAACCATTAAAGACCAAAAATCGATAAACTAAAAATTGATAACAAATATCTTATTAGTTTGATTATCGATTTAGCACATTTAAAAATTGAAAAACGATAAACTGAACCAACCGATACACACCTCTAATGCCTCTACCATTTCTTTTCTTTTTTTGTTAAACTATCATCATGTATATTGTAAGTTATATTCCAACAAAAACTTGCAGAGGGGGGCTAGGTATGACCTCATAATATAATACTTGACTGTCAAATTACACTAGTTGATAAACAAAAAAAGGATTTATTGTAGAAGAGTATCCTATTCTAGAAGAGTATCCTATTCTATAAGTTTTTGGGTCGTGGATCGTGGAACGACCATGTGGACCAATCCGATCTGATTCAACCCAAAAAATTTCTTGCGACCAACATTAATTTCTATCGTGTAAAGTTTCTAGATAGAGCTAATTGCATCCTGCAACTAGGGGTGACAATTGGATGGATTGGGCTAAATTTGAGCGGGTTAAAATGGGTCAAGATAATAAACGGGTCAAGATCCGACCCAATCCAAATTTATTTGGATCAAATGGGTTAGGTAATGGGTTAGTAACGGGTCATAACCCAACCCACCCAATTTTTACTAAGTTTTAATAGCTTTATTTGTTATTTTATAAGCTTTTAGTACCTAATAAAATTATTTTTTTCTTATTATAACTATATATAATATATAAAAAAAAAAAAGTCTTTTAATAATATTTTAACAAGATTTCTCAAAAATCAATTTGAATTACATATCAATCCAATTTTTAATAGATTGAAATGAGTTAGGTTGAAATGGATTGAGCTAATAAATTGGAGGATCAATGACCAACCCAAACCTAAATGGGTTGGATCGAGTTGGAAATGATTTTGCCACGTACCTGCAATAATGTCAGACATTGTCAGTACTTCAGCTCTAATGTTATTAGTATCAATGAAATTACCTATATACCCTAAATTCTAATATCTATATTTTTTTCTCAGATTAATTTTACTTGTCTACTTTTTTAATTAAAAAAATCATTTTTCGGGTCACTTTATCATATCAAGAAAAAATAACTTTCTTTTTCATATTTTACATTTAACATTAATTTCTTATTCCCCAAAAAAATTAAACATCATATAATAGGGATAGTGTGGTAAAATAATTGTATCAATAATTATTTTATTTTTTAATGGATGTATCAAGTCCAAATATGACAAGTACAATTGAACGAAATGAGTAGTTTACTTAATTAATTCCCTTTAAAAGTCAAAAGCTTTTACTTCTAAACTGTTGTATTATCTTATTTTTACTTAATTACATTACTTTAAAGTCAAATATATTTTACGCCTAAAATCTTGTATTAGCTTAGTTTACTTATACTTAAGTTCCTCAAAATATTGTTAAAATTTTCAGTTAGATTCTTCCGTTTTACCATTTCCAGCCACACACCCTCTCCCATAAAAAGGGGGGAGAATCACATATTACACGTCATATTATAAATGTGTTTTATTTATTTATTATTATATCGAAAATCCCAAATAAAAATTCACAAGTAATACATTACTCCTAGATTTCCAAATAAATAAAATGAATTGTTATTTATTTTTGCACAATCAATTTTGATTTATCATCACAGGTTAGTTACCATTTTTATGAAGATAACTACCTAATCTTTTTTATCATTAAAATGTATAGAACTTGTACGTGAATATGCAATAGTTTAGTTAGACTTGGTAACTTATTAATATATCTCCAGTTGACAAAAAAAAAACTGATAATTCAAATGGCTACAAAGAGCATTGGGAAAAGCTAAGTGCTTATTTTTTAAAAATTAAATTAAAACGTTTGACCAAGTTTTTAAAGAAAAGTACTTTTGAATCTTAACCAAAAACGAATTACTTCAATAAAAAAAAAATGTTTGACCAAGTTTTTAGAGAAAAATATTTTTTGTTCTATTTGATCATACCTAGCAAACTTACGCTAGCTAGTACAAAAAAATAATATAATTAAATTCTACAAATTGAGGAGACTATATATATTGATGTTAATTAGCTAATAATAATTAATTATTCATAATGGCTGTTCACAAAGATGTTAGTTTCCATGCTTGCTTACTTGTACTTGGTAAGATTTTCCTTTTTATACTTATAAAACACAAGTAGTGTTATGTTTTTACTTAATATAACTTAGTATTTGTTTTTAGGAATGTTTCAACTTATAAGCGCCACGGAACTTGACGATGCTACCATGTTTTGTACCATGGAATGCGGTAAATTTTCCTACGCTATATGTCCACGTTCAGAAGGAAGTCCAAGAAATCCCATATGCATCAATTGTTGTGCAGGCTACAAGGGTTGCAACTATTACAGTGCTAATGGAACTTTCATTTGTGAAGGAAAATCTGACCCTAGAAAGCCAAACACTTGTCCCAAGAATTGTGATTCAAAAATTGTTTATTCAAAGTGTCCTCTTTCAGAAGGAAATAGGGTAATTGAAAACATCAAATGCACCTCATGTTGCACGGGTTACAAGGGTTGCTACTATTTCGATCTAGACGGCAAGTTTGTTTGTGAAGGAAAACGTAGTGAACCCAAGATTTGTACTCAACAATGTGACCCTAAAGTTGCTTACATGATTTGTCCATCTTCTGGATCGACAAAATTACTTACTCAAATTTGTGTCAATTGTTGTACTGCAAAAGCAGGTTGTAAACTCTATGGTCATGATGGATCTCTACTTTGTACTGGGAAGCCTAAAATTCATTAATGATAGTTCTCATAATTTGAGAGATTGTCATGCTAATCTATGTAATGTGGTCAATGGAGCAAGAAATTATAATGCACTAGTTTCTTTTGACGGATTATATGGAAATTTAATTAGTTAGGAGCTATTTAGCAATGAATCAGTTAGAATTGTCGATAAATTTTCGTAGTTGATTCCATGTTTTCTGAGGGTGATTGAAATCAAGTATGATCAAAATCCTTAGCTCCTCAAAATTGTACGGTGCCTTGAGAAAATCATCAAGTTGACTTGCCTATATTAAGCATATTATTGTTGGTATCATGTGTTCAAATCATTAGATCAGAAATGTAGGAGAAAAAGAATATTATTCCGAGATTACAAATTATTTGTGTATTCTTAAGGAATTATAGCCCTCTCACTGTTGTCAAGATTTTGGGTTACTTCCTCCGTAGATAGAATAAAAAAACATTTTTGTCATAGCGACAATGCAAATAATATAACTCCAATGAACTCAACAAATAGATTAAATCACATGACATTTATATTTTATTTGAAAACAATATATGCACGAAGAAGAAAAGAAGATCGAATTTCAGATTTTTGGATGTCTTTTTTTGTTTGTTTGTAATATCTAAAATTTAAGGCAAGGCTTGTAGCTACCCTTTCGGAAGGATACTATCATTTAAGAAGAAATCTAATATTATAAATCATGTAAGTGAAAAAATAATGTAACCAGAACCTTTTCGAAAGTGAAACAAGTATACAAGTAATTCACAGCAAAAGTCCTAGAACCACAAACCTAGGCTTTGATACCAACACTACAATGCAAAGTGACAAGAGGTAACCAAAGTACCAAGATAAACTTTCAAATATACCAGGTAACAAGAGTATCAGTACAAGCTTATACACAAACCTCAGTGCTTTTGCATGGAAACAGTCCAACACAACTTCAAGAGTTCAAACCGTAGACCAACCAACGTATATCAAGGTCCTCAACTTGTACACGAGTATATGCAACCTTAAAAATATTAGTAAATAACTTCTTTACTTTCTAGTAGCTCAATAATGTTGACATAAAACATGATTATCATCACAAGTAAGCCTAGCTTGTACAAATACGACTATGCTCCCAAAAAAGTATTTTTGGCCAACCAAGTACCTCATGTCGCAACTTAGATTTGAAAAGGAAAAAATGGAAAAATTGAACTTTATATCCTCCATGAAAGATGTAGGTACATCTCTTAAGCTTGAAACTAATCAAGAATCGCCGCAATATATATTTTTGTACAAAAAAATATAATCAAAACACTAATAGTTGAACATACAGGATTTCTAATTCCGAAATCTGGACAGAACTTGTCCTATGTTGCGTCCCATATTTAGAATCCATAATAACTATATTAGAGTTTTACATAAACATAGGAGTTGAAGGTATATGAATTAGCTTTCCAAATCATATTTATTTACTGTAAATGGAGTTCTAAAGAACGAGATATGCTTAAAATACTAAACACTACCTAGCTCAAAACAGATTTCATCACTTACCAAAGGGAAGGGTGTGTCTCGAATTCCAGCCAAAAGGACCAAATTTTTATCTTGTGATTTTGAAGAACAATCTGGTTAGATAAAGTTCTCAAGGATCTTAGACTTAAGGAAAATGAATTTCTCTAGAGGAGGTGTGAAAACATAGTTACAAAAGTGATATTTATCACTTATACAGCTGGCACTAAAAGGTGGTTGCCCAAACAAAAAGTTGGTTGCCCAAAATGCATACATATATACCTATATGTATATCCCTCACCTCCCTTTCAAGTATAGGTAATTCTAACTAGTATATTACGTAAATACCCCAATACAATCTCTTAAATTACGATCACAATTACTGTTAAGCAAATTTGCAAATATCATAAAATTTCAAGTTCCTAAAATGAGAATAATACATATTGTAGTAATTAAAGAATGGTCTATCGACATGTGAATCTTGGTTTTAGTATTTAGGGGGTGTTACAACTCTCTCCCGCTTAAAGAAATTTTGTTTCAAAATTTACCTTACACTAATCTCGAAACAAGTGTGGGTATTGGGTCCTCATGTCTTCTCCTCGCTCCCAGGTAGCTTATTTTTCAGAATGGTTCCTCCAAAGTATCTTTACTAAGGGGATTCTCTTGTTTCTAAGTTGCTTTACTTCTCGAGCTTGAATTAGAATATGTTCTTCATTATACGTCAAGTCAGAATTAACCTCAATAGATTCAACTGGAAGAAAATGAGATGGATCAGAACGATACCTTCTGAGCATAGAAACATGAAAGACATTGTGGATCTTGTCTAACTCAAGTGGAAATGTTAATTTATATGCAACTGGTTCAACCCTTTCAAGTATCTCATAAGGTCCAATAAATCGGGGACTAAGTTTTCCTTTTTGGCCAAATCTCAAAATCTTTTTCCATGGAGACATCTTTAAAAATACTTTATCTCCAACTTGATATTCAATATCACGCCTTTTCAGATTAGCGTACGAATTTTGTCTATCCGAAGAAATCTTTAGACGATCCTTGATAATTTTTACCTTGTCTTCTGTCTGTTGCACAATTTCAGGACCAATAAGCTTCTTTCACCAACTTCACTCCAACAAAGAGGGGTCCGACATTTTTTTTCCGTATAAGGCTTCATAGGGAGGCATTCCAATACTCGATTGGTAACTGTTATTGTAAGCAAATTCTATCAAAGCCAAGTGTTTGTCCCAACTACCCTCAAACTCCGTAATGCAAGCTCGAAGCATATCCTCCAAAATTTGTGTCACTCTTTCCAACTTACCATCTGTCTGAGGATGGAACAAAGTGCTAAATTTCAACTTAGTACCCAAAGCTTCTTGCAAACTACCCCAAAATCTAGATGTAAATCTTAGGTCTCGGTCAGATACAATAGACACAGGAATCCCATGTAGTCTTACAATCTCATTAATGTACAATTTGACTAAACGCTCAAGTGAGTAATCCATCCTGAGTGCTAAGAAATGAGCACTCTTGGTTAGCCTGTCCACTATTACCCATATTGCATCATGATTTTTTTGAGTGCGAGGAAATTCAGAAACAAAGTCCATAGTTATTCTCTTCCATTTTCATTCCGGCATCGACAAGGGCTGTAGCAAACCAACTGGGACCTGATGTTCTGCCTTTACTTGTTGACAAACCAAATATTTTGAAATGAACTCTGCAATGTCTCTCTTCATACCATTCCACCAATAACGTTCTTTGATGGTCTGGTACATCTTTGTACCTTCCGGATGCATTGCATATGGTGAAGTATGTGCTTTATTCAATATTTCTCTCCTTAATAATTTGTCATTATTAGGGACGCATAACCTATCACAATTTATGTTAAGCAAGTTTGCAAATATTACAAAATTTCAAGTTCCTAAAATGAGAATAAAACATACTGTAGTAATTAAGAAATGGTGTATCGACATGTGAATCTTGATTTTAGTATTTAGGGGGTGTTACAAGGCTTCTGAATTGTAGACGATAAAAAAATGAGATGGACAGGTAAGATTCAAAAGATGATTTTTTGGTTCAATCTAATAAAAGGTATCTTTTCTCATTTCCCAATCATACTTCAAACTCCCAACACATATAACGTATTCATCATGAAAAAGTTGACAAGCACAAACAGATCAACTAATGATCAACAATAAAGATAAAAATCGAGAAATATATAAGAGGTTAAGAAATTGAAACTTTTAATCTAACTCAGCTTTCATTTAAATTCAAATTAGAAAATCATACCAATTTGTCAACACTTTGTTTTTTTTTCCAAACAATGGATTTTATTTTTTTTGGGTTAAGCAAACAATGGATATTTGAAAAGATAGGATTGTAATGCTATCAGAAATATACAATTATGTAACTTACGTTGTAAAAGTATAGTTCAAAACCTTAGGTTAAAACATAATCCGGTTTACAATATTATACATTCGGCATACAATAATATACAAAACTTTCATTATTATCTTTTTGCAAAAATGTTTAGAAACTTAATATACACCCAATATACAGATATTTATATACTTAAAATAATAATATAAAATATTCATAAACTTGATGCTCTAGTCGACTTCAAAAATTATAAGAGGTGTGTCTATATTTTATATTGTATATTTTAATATGAAATATATAAAAAGTGAAGTCAAAACCCGTTTACTTCGAGGAGGATTTGCTTTTGAACACCATCAACTTTGTTAATGTAATTCATAAACTTGATGCTCTAGCCTCTAGTCGATTCATGCCTACCAAATTGCTTAGGGAAAATAATCTCTATATAATCACCAATTTTACCATTCATTAGTTCACATCCTTACATATTATTAATCACTCAACACAAATTAGTAGTTAATTAACTCAAGAATGAAGTTGATCAATATTCTGTTTTTCGTTTCATTCCTCTTTGCCACCAACTACTTCACAAAATCAAAACTATGTGAAGCATCCGAATCCACTCCAATTGCGGTGCGTGATTCTAGTGGAAAAATATTACGAACTGGGACTAATTATTATGTCCAACCAATATCCCCAGACGAGGCCTGGGGATTTGAATTAGCCAGTATTAACAATCATCACAAACCGTGCCCACTAGGCATAGTTCAAGAAGACTATTACCCGGGCACCCCACTGTTATTTTCATCGGCGAATTCTAAGAAAGGCATTATTCGCCTGTCCACCGACTTGAACATTGACTACAACTTGTCGTACACGGTGTGTACTAAGTCCAATGATGCCATATGGACCGTTGGTTCTTATGATCGACGGGCCCAAAGCTACTTTTTAATACTAGGTGGAGTAAAAGGAAATCCTGGTCATGAAACCATAAGAAATTGGTTTAAGATTGAGGAGTTTGGTGATAATTACAAGATTACGTATTGCCCATCGGTGTGTAAGGATTGCAAGATAATGTGCAAGGATGTTGGCATAATTGAATATAATGGGCAGAAACGTTTGGGTCTAAGTGATTTTCCGGTTGAGGTGAAGTTTGAAAAGGATGCATGAATATAAGTCTCAAGTAATAATTGTGATAGTAACACAATATAATGAACTAAGTAATAGTAATTAAATAAGTGATACTTTTTTTATGTAATAAGCCGATATGGCAATGACTTGTGAGTGTTTGTAAGCAATTGTAGTGTGGCCTAAATTTGTGTGGAGTTTTCTAAGCAGTATATAAATAATCATATTTGAAATTTATGCAATTTGATCTGTGTTATTAAGAAAGTGTTTGTTTTCATCTGTATTTTAGTGCCCCAAAAAATTGTCCATTTTAGAATAGAACTCACTACCATATCAAGGCTAGTGAAAGTACGTAGCTTCAATGAGGAGTTTTAAATTGAAGAATGATTGAATGTTAGTGAGCAGAGGATGGAAATGAATTTTTAAGAAAAAGATATATATGAACAAAATTAATTAAGCAAAAGATATGTATAATTAATGGAGCTTTTGATGAAATATCGACACATAATTTGTATAATTGCATTGTATAATTGTATAATTGCATACAAATTAATGGAGCTTTTGATTCGTATAATTCGCTAGAAACATTCAATTTTATACAAATTGTTCAGTTTTGTATAAATTCATTTATACATTGTAATTTGTATAATAAGATATGTATTTGTATAATTATAAGTGTATAGGACGAAAATATATGTATTTGTATTTGTATATACACTTTTCTCTCGCTTTATACAAACACAAACGCATTTTATACATTTTATACCGAAATATATAAAATTGCTAATTGTATACCGAAAATGGCTAATTGTATACCGAATCAGATGACAAAAAAATGGGATGTTTGCTGCGAATTACAATTAAAATAAACTATGGCTATAACATTTAATTTGAATAAATAATTTTCTATTTCATACCATTTTCCCATGAAAAGAACAAAATTAATTAAGCAAAAGAGTCAAATCAGATATTTTTTATTTTTGTCAAAAAGATTAAATTTTATTTCTTATAGCAAAAAATGGTTATTACATAGCTTGATATCTGTCTACATAACTATTAAGGGGAAAATCTCACAAACATCCAAGTTCTTCCTGGCTAGAGCATCCGCCATCTTGTTTCCTTTTCCAAGTGGAAAAATAATTTAAAGTATAATAATAATAATATATTTAACTAGTGTAATTTTACAAATGGAATATGAAGAGTATGATGTTTACGCAAACTTTAACTACACCTTATTTTATAAAAATAAAAAAATTATTTTAAATAAACACTCATCTCATATAAAACATATAGATGAAAAAAATTAAAAATACAACAATAATGAATCGTTAAAAATGAACCATGGGAAGGGCGCCGCATTCCAATGACGTATTAGACTAGTAGTTATTCAAAATGAACTTTTTGTTCCAGTTCTAAAGATCTCGATTTTGAAATGATGGAATTTAGATAGTGCTATAAAATAATAAAGCAAGAAAAAAAATTGTAAAAAAGAGGTAGAAGGAAGAGAGAAAGATATTTTTGGTATCTTAGAAAAATAAAATAAAATAAAATATAAATATGATGAACTTGAAATTTCAATTTCCGCCATCCAAATTGAGTTGTTCACACATAGATTTAATCCAGTCCGAGTGCAAGACTCATAGATTAAATATTAAAATATTGTTATCTATTTTCGTACATATTTAATTCTAAACATCCACTGGCTTTGACTCCTTTGGTTGATTGCAGTGTCACAATCTTCATTAAATAAAAATTAAATTAAAAATCTGTTAAAAACAACATCTTCTTTTTTTTCTTCTGTTTAGTGGAGGACATATATAATAGATATATTTTTAAAATGTTAAATATCAACGTTGAAAGTAAGTCAAAATCCATCAATTTAGTTTGTTGGCAAGTTCTTGAGTTGTATGCATGTATCCATATGCCAAACTTACCTATAAAAGATTAGGTTATTTCTTAAGAAACTTAACCAACCAAAATAATTCCAAAAAAAAAATCACAATAATGAAGAAAACAGAAGTATCTTGCATTTTCTTAATTACATTAATAGTGTTTATAAAAAATTCTCTACTTTCTGAAGCAACTTCTGCCCCTAATTCCGTGCTTGACACGACAAGAAAAATGATTCGAGTAGGATCCGACTACATGGTTGTGCCAGTATGGAAGGACTTAGGAGGCGATCTTGGGCTAGCCTTTATTGGAACCCAAGTTTGTCCACTTGGTATCGGCCCACGTCTAAATAACGATTTAGGCCTTTCGATAAATTTCTTTCCAGTGAATTCAAAAAAAGATGTAATTCGTGAGTCCATTGATCTAAATGTTGAGTTCACAGAAACTTATACTATATGCCAACATCACTCCAATGTGTGGAGGCTCGATCACTATAATCCTCAAAAGGAAGATCATGAGATTACTAATGGCTAATGGTGGAGTAAAAGGAAATCCTGGTCGCAACACCATTAGCAATTGGTTTAAGATTGTGATGTTGTTCGTCTTGTATTCCTAAGATACTTAGAACAAAACTTTGAAGAACTTGGTAAGACACAATAAAGTTTAAGAACATTTTCACAACTAGAAAATTAAAACTAGTAGAGAAACTAGAATCAGAAACAGATTAGAAAAAATATACGAAATATTTTTCCTTAAAGAAGAATTGTTGTCAATATGTGTTTAAAGAATCTTACTAATTCCAACAAACTTTGCAGAAACACGAAGTTACCAAAGTTTAATGAACCAGTGAAGAACAGAAGAACATAAATTAATTCACAAATCTAAAAATCTGTAACACATAACAGAATCTGGAAAACCAGAAAGAAGATCAAGCCCACTGAATGCACAGTGTCCCCTTAAGGAAATTATTCCCCTCTAGTATTCGAGGTTTGATTTGGAATATGTCCTCCCAAGATAGAATGATCTCAATCACCAGTGTATTGATACCCAAAACACTGGTGTCAGCGAGCCACTCAACGGTAGTAAAGTACACTTAGAATACTAGATTTAGTAGTAGAAGAAGAAGTTCACAAAATCGTTCTTAAAATGAGAGGAAATCCCTCAGTTTATAGAAAACAAAGGGTAGTGTGAAAAGGTTCTTAATGTGCCTTACCGGAAAGGTCACAAACCTTTGGAAAAGTCACAATCTTTCAGAAAGGTCACCACCTTTTATAAAAGTCACAACTTTTCATAAAAGTCGCAACTTTTCATAAAAGTCACAACTCCTTTAAAAGTCGCAACTTTTCATCAAAGTCACAACTCTTCATAAAAGTCGCAACTCTTCATTAAAGTCGCAACTCTTCATAAAAGTCGCAACTCTTCATAACCGTCAGTCAAAACTTTGTTTTTCTCCTTGAATCTAGCTCTTGGGATCTCTAGTCTGCTAGATAGAGTTGCCGCCCTGCTGACTTGTCCTAAGCCGTAAACCCATTCCCTTAGATGATCTTTCAACTGCCTCTCTCACTAGGCCTTTCGTTAGTGGATCTGACACATTATCGCTTGACTTCACATAGTCAATTGTGATAATTCCACTAGAGAGGAGTTGTCTTACGGTATTATGTCTCCGTCGTATATGACGAGACTTCCCGTTGTACATAACGCTCCCTGCCCTACCTATTGCTGCTTGACTATCACAATGTATGCAAATAGGTCCCACAGGTTTGGGCCAAAATAGAATATCCTCTAAGAAATTCCGGAGCCATTCAGCTTCTTCACCGGCCTTATCTAAGGCAATGAATTCAGATTCCATTGTGGAGCGAGCGATACATGTCTGTTTGGATGATTTCCAAGAGACTGCTCTTCCACCAAGTGTAAACACATAACCACTTGTGGATTTTACTTCATTTGACCCGGTGATCTAATTTGCATCACTATATCCTTCAATCACGGCAGGATATTTATTATAATGCAAAGCATAGTGTTGTGTATGCTTCAAATAACCCAACACACGTTTCATTGCCATCTAGTGAGTTTGATTCGGATTACTAGTGAACCGACTCAGTTTGCTAATAGCACATGCTATATCTGGTCGCGTACAATTCATAATATACATCAAACTTCCCAACACTCTGACATATTCCAATTGAGAGTCACTTTCACCTACATTCTTTTGAAATGTAAAGCTTAAGTCAATTGGAGTTTTGACAACATTGAAATTCAAGTACTTGAACTTCTCCAATACTTTTTCAATATAATGAGATTGAGATAATGCTAGTCCCTGAGGAGTTTTGAGAATCCTGATCCCTAAGATCAAATCAGCAACTCCTAAGTCCTTCATATCAAACTTACTAGACAACATGCGCTTAGTAGCATTTATATTGTCAATATTTTTACTCATTATTAACATGTCATCAACATACAAACAAACAATGACTTCATGATTCGGAACATTTTTAATGTAAACACACTTATCACATTCGTTAATCTTGAATCCATTTGTCAACATTGTTTGATCAAATTTAGCATGCCATTGTTTGGGTGCTTGCTTGAGTCCATAAAGCGACTTCACAAGTCTGCACACTTTCTCTTCTTTACCAGGAACCACAAACCCTTCAGGTTGTTCCATGTAAATTTCTTCCTCCAACTCTCCATTTAAGAAGGCTGTCTTTACATCCATTTGATGGATTTTAAGATCATGCACTACCGCTAGTGCTATTAACATTCTAATTGATGTTATCCTTGTTACTGGAGAGTATGTATCAAAGTAGTCCAGACCTTCCTTTTGTCTATATCCTTTGACTACAAGTCTAGCCTTATATTTGTCAATAGTCCCATCGGCTTTCATTTTCCTTTTAAAGATCCACTTTGATCCTAAAGGTTTATTTCCTGGAGGAAGATCAGCCAATTCCCAAGTATGATTACTTAAAATTGATTCGATCTCACTATTGACAGCTTCTTTCCAATAGATTGACTCAGATGACGACATAGTTGCTTTAAATGTTGGAGGCTCATTTTCAAGCAAAAATGCCACAAAATCTGGTCCGAAAGAAGTGGATTTCCGTTGGCGAGTACTACGCCTAGGATCTTCATTAGGTTGTGCATTTTCCTTTGAT